TATATATGAACAATATTGCCCTGGAAATGCTGATGAAGAGTCCATGGAATGGAACCTGGATGTTTTCTCTTTACGGTCACTGTATGTACTGACTGATAATAATCTTATACACCAAAGAGACAAGCCATACCCATCCTCAGACCTCCTTTCATGGTTGAATATCTTTTACTTTTTTTGTACCTGGCATCAGGATAATTATGAAACTAGATGTTAAACCCGGTACATACCGGGAATGTAACTGTGTTTTGAAAATGTTAAATTGATGTTGCACAGATATGTTAAGTCCCAGGTCCGGTTTGAAGGACTCCCCGCATTCACAGAAACTCTACATGCTTTCAGGCTCCTTGTAGTTCCTGCTGTTAAGAAATAGTATAATTCAAGGAACTTTTTGCATGTGACAGTTTCACAATAATTATTGCCCTTACAGCAATAACCACTCCTTGAATTGAGAAATCAATGTGGTTTGATAATAACATGTCAACAACCCACACTGATTTCACAATACAAGGAGTGGTTACTGTTCTGAAGACTTACATGCATATTGAGACATTTCAGGGTGTCCATGTCTTCCTTCTGCCCTACTGCCTTTATAAATGTCCCACATGTCCTCACCACCAGATGGTTATCATATTGTCTTCCACAAATCATTACTGGGGAGAAAATTAGAAGTTCTGTGGGTGCGACTTTGAAAAAATTGGAAGTAAACTAAACCCCCAATGCTAAAAAATTAATTTTTAGAGAGGTTCTAGTTTGAGCAATATGAGGCAACATTTTATTCAAGCCTAACTTCTGGCAGTAGTAAAATAATTAAAATTGCCCAAAGAAATTGCTCCCTTTTCTAGGGGATCCAACACAGAGTCATGCTTACTTTAATCCATGGTCTGGTGTCTTCCTTCACATCAGTTACATAGTCTGGCTGAAAAAATACAAAAGTCCATCCAGTTCAACCATTAAATTAAAAAAAAGTTATAAGATGATCTAGAGGAAGGCAAAAACAAACCCAGCAAAGCATGATCCAATTTGCTCCTGCAGGGGAAAAATTTCTTCCTGATCCCCCGAGAGGCAATCGGATATTCCCTGGATCAACTTTACCTATAAATGTTATATCCAGTTATATTTTTCTGTGTATCTAGGAAAGTATCCAGGACTTTTTTAAAGCAATCCACTGAGCTGGCCAGAACCAACTCTTGAGGGAGTCTAGTTCCAGTTGTAAAGTTCTAAAGCTGCTCTTCTTTGTAGCCCCCAACCAGTCTTGTTGCCGTCCTTGTTTGCAAACAATATTATATACAATATATTATATATAAAAGGTGCAGCGCTAGTAAGCAATAATTTGTATGCAAAGGTCCCTGGTAAATCAGAAAATATATATTGGGTAGTCCCGTAATTAAATATAAATAGTTGAGAGGTGACTTTAATATCTGTGTAGAGGTGGTAATGAAATGCGCACTCACCGGACGCGCATATTAAATGCGCCTTGTATATAATTATCCTGCTGCCAGGTGGTGGGCGGTCTTCCCCTCTATCGGATCCTAGGCAAGTAGTCCTTCTCCTCTAGAGGTCCCCTTGTGTGGTCCTAGTGGATGTTGTCACTACAAATGGCCTGGGTGGTGAGTAGTGATCCGTTCTTGGAGTGGGTCTGTGGGCTAGAGCACTCCCCCATATTTAATTACGGGACTACCCAATATATATTTTCTGATTTACCAGGGACTTTTGCATACAAATTATTGCTTACTAGCGCTGCACCTTTCATATATAATATATTGTCTATTCCATAGGTCATTGGTACCTATCTTGTGCATAGCAGCTTGTTGTTCTTTACTAAGGCGCTTTTTACCACTTCTTGTACATCAATATTATATACAAATCAGGAGTAGTGGTCATGTCCTATTGCAATGACATGTCCATTGGTCCTGCTTTGTATCTAACGACATAAGAGTTCCCAACCATGTTCAAGTGCTGGAAAGTGGAGAATTGGACTGCTGGCTGTTGCAAGACCATAGAATAAGCTAGGCATTACACTGTGTTAGATCATCCCTTTGCAAAAGGTACAATATATTTTTCATCAACTGGAAAGGGTAATTATTTTATTCCTCAGCAGTGAATTTAAATCTGACTGAAAATTTGTATTTTATTGCCTTAACTATTTTGCTGCATTAAATATGTTCTTATCTATTTTACAATTACAGTTTTCTTATTCCTTTTTCATATATTTCTCTTCTGTGATTTTAATAAAAACAAGAGTCGTTAATATATTTGAACATTACTACGTATATTATATTTTACTGTGCAAATCATGAACATTGTAAACAAAAACTAATAATTAAATTATTAAAGAAATATATATATTTTTGCATAATCTCTAGCATTCTTGAATTATTGATTATTCAAACTTCAACCATTTTTTGAATAAAGATTACAATCAACACAATGAAAGGAGAAGTTTGAAACAGAATTATAGAAGTATTTTAGTGATAATATGATTTTATGATCACACTACTAAACATTCATATTAATAAATTCATCATTTTAAATGGCATTAATGGTTTAGATGCATGTGATTTTGTGAATTGGTAATTGCTATGCCTAATACTTACTTAGTTATTCTATGCTTGGCTTAGAATTTAAAGTATTTTTATTTGGATAGGAAGGGGATGTTTTTAATCCCTGTCAAATTTATATTTGCTGTCTGCGTACCCATTCGAGTATAACTAAAGGCAAAACTTTTTTTTCATTTTGGATAGCGTGCAGAGGGATTGGAACGCCTGTCAGGTTTTTATTGCTGTCTGTGTCCCCATTAGGCTCCATGTACACGGGACACTTCTGAACGATGGAAAGTGACTGCTGGAAAACGTAGGTTAAAAAAACGTCTGTTTAGCCACGGTTGCATACCACGTTTTATGCGCATTTATGTGCGTTTGCATTTAAAAGCATTTTTTTAAAGATAACCTCAGGAAACCTTCCAAAATGCCCAGAATGCACTGAAAAGTAGTAAGAAATTAACTATTTCAGACATTTTGTGAGAAATAGAGAGAGCAGAAGCAGAGACAGCAGTATGTGTTGAGATGACCTGTCTTTTTTTTTTTGCGGTGTTTGGATGTGTTCCGGCTCATTTCTGTGCAGAAATTATTGCAGCAGTGTCTAAAATATTTTCTTTCATGCGGAACCTCAAAGTATGGTGTACCGGGTCCATTTGAGTACCAGGAAAATGCTTTGCGTGCATTTTTCATGATGAAAAAAGGCTCTGGACAGCATCTGGAAATGTAAGAGTTCAAAAAAATTCCAAACGCTTATAAATGTGGTTAGCCGCGTTTACAAGCGTTTGGCGTTTTAAACGCTGATAAAATCTACTCCTGAACGCAAGTTTGGTGCATTAAAAAAAACGACTGTAAACTCAACTGCCTGTAAACGACGATGTGTACATGGACACATAGGAAAACATTAGGGAGAGTTCAGGGGCTGCTGAAAAAAACTCAGAAAAGCTCCTGAACGTCAGTTTATCAGCTGCAGTGTACATGGAGCCTTAGGGAGATCCACCCTCTCTATTTGTTCTTACCATTATCATTGAAAGTGAAAGTAAAAGAAAATCCCAAATTTTGGGTTGTCCTAAGTGGGGAAATCTTCTAATAGGGGAAATTCTTCTAATGGGGATACTAGTTCTGATGTCCTGGGGGTCCCCAAGGAATTCACCTCTTGGAGCCCGCCGAATGCAAATGTGCGGCCTCCCGGTGTCTGGGCCTAGACGCCGAGTGGTCGTACATTTGTGTTCTATTAAAATAAAAAATCTGTGCTGAGAACGTGCGCCCTACGCGCTTCCAGCACACATGTCCGGTACTCAGGGAAAGGTCTTTCGATCGGGACCTTTCCTCTTCTAATAGGGGAAATCTTCTAATGGGGACACTAGTTCTGATGTCCTGGGGGTCCCCAAGGAATTCACTTAACCGCTTGGCACCAGCCAAATGCAAATGTGCAGCCTCCTGGTCTCTGGGCCTAGACACCGAGCGGTCGTACATTTGTGTTCTATTAAAAAAAACATTTGTGCTGAGAACGCACGCCCTACGCGCTCCCAGCACACATGTCCGGTACTCACGGAAAGGTCCCGATCTCTTTCGATCAAGACCTTTCCCGATCATGTGACTACCGTGACGGCGTGTCATGGCGGTCACATGACCCTAAACCCCACCCTGCCTCCCAGCTTCTGAAACCCTTAAAGGGCTGGGAGGCGCCAGGGCCAAGGGGATAATTTGCAGGAATTTCCTCTCACTTCAGGTGTGGCTATGGAACAGGAAGTGAAGGGAAATCTCCTCAATGGGGCACCGATGGAAAAAAAATCAGCAAAGGTTATAACCCCCCTTCTTCTATCCAAAATATAAAAAAAAAAAGGTTTGCCTACAGTTCTACTTAAAGTAGATTTGCTGTCTTTATTGTTCCTGGTTCCTGGTGACCTTTGTTACTGAGATAGAAAGTGATAGGAAATCCAAACATGTACAATTATTACCAGACAGCTAGATAGCAATAAAAAACATAACAGGGATTCTAAACTTCCCTACTCTATCTAGTTATCCAATAAATCTCATTTAAACAGTTATACTAAAATATTTTCTTGTCAACTCTTTTAACTAGCTGCCGACCGCAGATAGCCGAATGACGGCTGCACTGCGGCCGGCCAGTTCTGAGTGGACGTCATATGACGTCCTCCCAGAACGCACTCTCCTGCGCGCCCCAGGGGGCGCGCACCCGGCGATCTCCATGATCGCTGTGTCCTACGGACACAGCTGATCACGTGATGTGGTAAAAGGCCAATCACAGCGGCCTTTTACCACGTGATCAGCGGTGTCCAATGACACGCTGATCACAGGGAAATGCAAGTGCCGGTTCTCGGCTGCACTTTCCTCACGCTGTCAGATCGTGAGGAAAGTACTGCCGAGGACCGGCAGTTGTCAGAGCGGGGATCGGCACCGATCATCAGGGCACTGATGATCAGTGCCCTGATGATCGGTGCCCAGCAGTGCCACCCGCAAGCTCCGCCCACCTGTGCCCAGCAGTGCGCCCACTAGCTCCCGCCCACCTGTGCCCAGCAGTGCACCCACCTGTGCCCAGCAGTGCACCCACCTGTGCCACTCTGCAGTGCCACCTACCTGTGCCCAGAAATGCCACCTACCTGTGCCCAGCAGTGCCACCCACCTGTGCCCACCCACCTGTGCCCACCAGTGCCACCCACCTGTGCCCACCCACCTGTGCTGCCCACCAGTGTCACCCACCAGTGCAGCCCAGCAGTGCTGCCAGTCAGTGCCACCAGTCAGTGCCCAGGGGTTGTGCCAGTCAGTGCCGCCAGTCAGTGCCCAGCAGTGATGCCAGTCAGTGCCGTCTATCAGTACCCATCATCAGTGTCACCTATCAGTGCCGCCTATCAGTGCTGCATATTAGTGCCGCCTATCCGTGACACCTCATTAGTACTGCCTATCAGTGCCCTTTAGTGCTGCCTATCAGTGCCCATCACTGCCGCCTATCAGTGCCCATCAGTGCTGCCTCATCAACGCACATCAGTGAAGGAGAAAAAATACCCGTTTGAAAAATTTTTATAATAGAAACAAAGAAACTTTTTTTTTTTTCAAATTTTTTGCACTTGTTTTATTTATAGCGCAAAAAGTAAAGCGCCCAGTGGTGATTAAATACCACCAAAAGAAAGCTCTATTTGTGAGAAAAAACTGATCAAAATTTCATATGGGTACAATGTTGCATGACCACGCAATTGTCAATCAAAGTGCGGCAGCGCTGAAAGCTGAAAATTGGCCTGGTAAATAAGGGGGTATAAGTGCCTGGTAGGCAAGGGGTTAATGATGAATGATGAAACATAAAACTACAATCCTATTTTATATTTCTAAATAGAACCCGTAAAAGATCAAAAAATGAGAGACTGCAGTAAGAGCAAAGAAACAGCAAAGGATGTGTAGAGATTGTGTATTGAGAAACGATACTTTAAATATACATTGAATCCCAATTTATTGTGCTACACATAGATCAATGCTATTAATGATGGAGTCAAGAGGATAGCTGATTTACTGTTTGATTAATTTGAATATTGGCAGAAAGATCTGTCTATTATTTATATTATATTATTTTATACATTAGTATTACACACTCACAGGCCACTTTATTAGGTACACCTTAGTAGTCCCAATAAAATCTCCCAAACACCATGACACCACCACCACCAGCCTGAACCAATGATACAAGGCAGGATGGATCCACCACACCATGACGCAGCACCACCAGTCTGAACCATTGATACAAGGCTGGACAGATCCACCACACCATGACACCACCACCACCAGTCTGAACATTGATACAAGGCAGGATGGATCCACCACACCATGACACCACCACCACCAGTATGAACCATTGATACAAGGCAGGATGGAACCACCACACCATAACACCACCACCAGCATGAACCACTGATACAAGGCAGGATGGATCCACCACACAATGACACCACCACCAGTCTGAACCATTGATACAAGGCTGGACAGATCCACCACACCATGACACCACCACCACCAGTCTGAACCATTGATACAAGGCAGGATGGATCCACCACACCATGACACCACCACCACCACCAGCATGAACCATTGATACAAGGCTGGATGGATCCATGCTTTCATGTTGTTTACTCCAAATCCTGAGCCAACCATCTGAATGTTGCAGCAACCAGTCTGCCAATTCTCCTTTGACATCAACGAGGCATTTTCTTTCACACAACTGCCGCTCCCTGGATACTTTCTATTTTTTTAGACCATTCTCTGTGAACCCTAGAGATGGTTGTGTGTGAAAATCCCAGTAGATCAGCAGTTTTGAAATACTCAGACCAGCCCGTCTGGCATTAACAACCATCCCATGTTTAAAGTCATTTAAATCCCCTTTCTTCCCCATTCTGATGCTCAGTTTGAACTTCAGCAAGTTGTCTTCACCATGTGTAGATGCCCAAATGCATTGAGTTGCTGCCATGTGATTGGCTGATCAGCAATTTGTGTTACTAAGAAATTGAACAGGTGTACCAGTGACTGTACATTGTGTAATTCTTTGCAATTAAAAAAAAACAACAAAAAAAAATAACAAATTTATGCAAACCAATTTGCCTTATTTGCAAATGCATTTTTAAAATAATACTTACTATATGCATCATAGATATACATCGTAGATAAATCTTGTGATTTATTAAACACGTATATGAAGAAGCTGTGTGTAACTATGTAAAAGGAGCAAAGGGTAAGTTAATGACTATATTTTTCTGGACTTTAGATCTGCACAATATACCAAAAAGTTACCAATTATACTTAAAGTGTTACTAAACCCAGGACCCTGCATTCACTATATCTGGTCTCCCGGACCCTGCATTCACTATATCTGGTCTCCCCGGACCCTGCATTCACTATATCTGGTCTCCCCGGACCCTGCATTCACTATATCTGGTCTCCCCGGACCCTGCATTCACTATATCTGGTCTCCCCCAGGACCCTGCATTCACTATATCCGCTCTCCCCGTACCCTGCATTCACTATATCTGGTCTCCCCGGACCCTGCATTCACTATATCTGGTCTCCCCGGACCCTGCATTCACTATATCTGGTCTCCCCGGACCCTGCATTCACTATACCTGGTCTCCCCGGACCCTGCATTCACTATATCTGGTCTCCCCGGACCCTGCATTCACTATATCTGGTCTCCCCGGACCCTGCATTCACTATATCTGGTCTCCCCGGACCCTGCATTCACTATATCTGGTCTCCCCAGGACCCTGCATTCACTATATCCGCTCTCCCCCCCTGTACCCTGCATTCACTATATCTGGTCTCCCCGGACCCTGCATTCACTATATCTGGTCTCCCCGGACCCTGCATTCACTATATCTGGTCTCCCCGGACCCTGCATTCACTATACCTGGTCTCCCCGGACCCTGCATTCACTATATCTGGTCTCCCCGGACCCTGCATTCACTATATCTGGTCTCCCTGGACCCTGCATTCACTATATCTGGTCTCCCCGGACCCTGCATTCACTATATCTGGTCGCCCCGGACCCTGCATTCACTATATCCGGTCTCCCCGGACCCTCCATTCACTATATCTAGTCACCCTGGACCCTACATTCACTATATCTGGTCTCCCCGGACCCGGCATTCACTATATCTGGTCTCCCCGGACCCTGCATTCACTATATCTGGTCTCCCCAGACCCTGCATTCACTATATCTGGTCTCCCAGGACCCTGCATTCACTATATCTGGTTTCCCCCCCGGACCCCGCATTCACTATATCTAGTCTCCCCGGACCCCGCATTCACTATATCTAGTCTCCCCGGACCCTGCATTCACTATATCTGGTCTCCCCGGACCCCGCATTCACTATATCTAGTCTCCCCGGACCCCGCATTCACTATATCTAGTCTCCCCCGGACCCTTCATTCACTATATCTGGTCTCCCCGGACCCTGCATTCACTATATCTGGTCTCCCCGGACCCTGCATTGACTATATCTAGTCTCCCCGGACCCTGCATTCACTATATCTGGTCTCCCACAGTACACAAAACATGGAAATGCAATTATTTTAGTAAATATAAACTGCTAAATACCTTTTCTCAGCAGTAGTATATAGCAATCTTGTGACTTCTATCAGTGTCCAGTTGAGCTCTGGTTAATAATATAGGAGGAGTTATTATTCTGTTCTGACTGTTCTATGAGGATGCATAACCCCTGATCCTTTGTCTGGACAGCTCTGATTAGCCCTTTGTCTGGACAGCTCTGATTTGCCCTTTGTCTGGACAGCTCTGATTGGCACTTTGCTGATCACATGCACCCTCCTAAAGAAAAAAAAACTCACTAGCCATACACTGAGCATGGGCAGTGTGACTCCTAGAGCTCTGTACTATCAGCAGATGGATTGGGGACAGTAGAAGAAGGGGAGGATCAGAGAAGACAGGATCAAAGAGTCTTTTTACACAAATCACAGGATTAACCCCTTAGATTCCATAGTGAGTATAACAAGCATGCTTTACTGCATATATATGTTACTGTTGTGGATTTAGTAATACTTTAACCATTTGAGCATTCACTTCTATATACTTCTAAGGAACCTAAGCAAATTTAGAATATTCTCTATCGGTTTATTGAATGAGCAAAACATTGTCCTTACTTAAAGGGTTAGTTCACCTTTTCAGAAAAAAAGGAAAGTCCTCAATGATGTGTAAATCATGCCAGCACCATTGTAAGTGCAAGGTGCTATGGTGATGCTCCCTATGGGGCAGGTCCATGATGTCTTGCATTCAGCTATGTTCTCCAGGCAGTTACACATCTCAGTGCCACCAAGCTGCCTGATACCTGGTCAGGGGCGAACTGACAACTCATGGGGCCCCCGGGCAATAGGGGATCATGGGGCCCCTGTGTCCTTGCCCAAACTCAAATAAGCCTATGAAAAAGGTACCAGGGGCATCTCATGGGGCCCCCTACTGACCCCGGGCCCTCGGGCAGTGCCCGAGTTTCCAAATGATCAGTCCACCCCTGTACCTGGTTAATCCTGTGAGACAACAGGGTGCTGAGCCAAGGAGCCCATTCAAACTCCATACAATGCATCAATCCAAATGGCTTTCACTCCTATGACATCATTTAGATTTGATTCAGTTTGTTTGCCAGAGAGCGCACACAACATACTTCCACCTAGGACTGCCCCCCTAATGCATTTCTCCGTCCAGTGATTAGCTGTCCAAGACTAAGCCCTGGATGGGTGACACGCATTAGAGGGCTGGACATAGGTGACAGAAGGCAGTGTGCGCTGTATGTCAAATAACCTGAACTGGATCTAAGTGACACCATAGGTGTGCAGCCCATTTGCATGGTGTCATGTTCTGTCTCTTACCCCATTGGAGAGATTTTCCTCCACTTCCTGTCCCGGTGAAAACTGTATAAAAATTAAGATTAATATTTGTCACAGGGAGAACATGGCACAGATAGGAATAAACACTTCAAAATGTAACATTTCCTCACTATACCATAAATGTTTTTTGTCTAACTCTCCATTGGAGAGATTTCCCTTCTTCTCCTTCAGTGGAGAAAGAAGCAAATAAAATAGTTATTTTTGGTAGCTAAAATCCCAACAGTAGCTAAAAAATTAAAAAATAGTAAAAAAAAGTAACAATTAGGAATCTGAAATGTGCTACATTTTTAATGACACTAAAGGGGTAATTTATAAAGAAATTACATAGCCCTTTGCCCAGTGAAAGTACATTCATTCTGTGCAAATCAGGGAAAAAAAACAGGCTATATCCTGTGCTATTCGAATGCAAATCATTGATTTAAAAACTGAAAATA